TTGATATTCACATTTCCCAGAACTCATCTAACCTCTCTCTCTTTGCTATGTTAAATCTGTTTCATGCTGGTCACTAAAGATACCTAAGATTCTGGATGGACTAAGTTGGAGGATTCATAGATAGCGGGACAGAGTTTGACCCAGACTGGACATATTGAATAGCAGCTAAGAGGCTTGGCTGCTGTGGGTCATGATGAGAGCTTAGTCTCAGGCCAGTTTTCCTCAATCTTAGCAACTTCTCTAGGTGGGCTTCAACTCCCAGAATTCCCCAGCCAGAAAAACAAGATAGTTGAAGTCCTACAGTTAAAGTTGCTAAGATTGGAAAACAGATATGGGATTCATATTGGCAGCTGAAGTTTTTTTCTCCACCATATCCATCACTGCCTCAGAGTCATTCATGCAGGGTTTTTTTTTTTTTTTTGCGCTCGAGATGTGTTTGGAATTGCATGCTCACCCCGACTTCTAACCGGGCATGCACCAGCAAGCAGCCCCTCCCCCCACTTCTCAAGAGCCTCCGGACTTACCCATACGGCTAGTGGGGAGTCGGGCTCTACTCCCTCCCCTGGCGGCGCCACCACCACCGTCAAGAATCGTTCAAGGAATCGCCACCCCAGGAGTTGGCATAGTTGTTTCTTGGCTCTGGCCACCCCACCTTTCCTGAACGGCTCTCTAACCCACCTACTTCTCTCTAACCCAGGGTTTTTTCAACCTTGGCTGCTTTAGGAAGAGGGGACTTCAACTCCCAGAATTCCTTGCTTCTCAAACTTGGCAATTTTTAAAAGACGGGTGGACTTCAATTCCCATAATCCTTCAGCATGGATGGATAGGTGGATGGCCGGGGAATTCTGGGAGTTGAAGTCATCCCTGCATCTTAAACCTGTCAAGAGTGGAAAAAAACAAAACACTGCTCCGTTTATTACGAAGGAGCTTAGCTTGTGCTCCCCGTCCCTCCCGGTCTGCGGTACAGGTAGTCCTCAACTTACAACAGTCCGTTTAGCGACCAAAGTTACCACGGCACTGGGAAATAATGACTTATGACCGTTTTTCACACAACCATTTGCAGCATCCCCCAGGGTCAAAATTGATCAAAATTCAGACACTTGACAACTGACTCATATTGATGACAGTTACAATGCTCCCGGGGGAGGGGGGGGCAGGGTGTCACACGATCCCCTTTTGCGACCTTCTGACAAGCAAAGTCAAATGGGGAAGCCAGGATTCACTGAACGACCGTGATACTAACTTGACAAGTGCAGTGATTCACTTAACAAGGAAGGCGGTGAAATGGGAGCGAAAACTCACTTCACGAATGTCTCACTTAGCAACATAAATTGGGGGCTCGGCTGAGGTCGTACGTCGAGGACTAAGCTGTACCTCCCTCCCACCCACCCACCCACCCAACCAACCCTGCCCCGTTTCCCCCAGTTCAGCTTCCCCGCATGCTTCTTAAGAGACCCCGTACCCTCCCTCGCCTTCCCCGCCCTTCCTCGGCTCCTCCTTCTGGAAGGTCCAAACCCTGGCTTCATTCACCGCGGCTTCCTCCTCGCTACAGTTGGTCACCTTGGCCCAAACCCACATGATGCCGGTACCCGAGGGGTTCCTCACTTTGTGGACCCAGACGTCCCCCGACCCGCCTCCTCCGGCTTGGGTGGGCTTCTCCCGGGGGATCCACACTTGGTTGAGCTCCGCCCCGCTCTTCCGGGGAACGGCCCCCTCCTTCAGCCAAGGCAGCCCCGCCATCCTCTCGGGAGCCCGGCCCGGCTTGCGGGGGACCCAGACTTGCCCCGAAGCCTCCGTGGGGCCCCGGGGCCACTCCTTCTGGAGCCAGCCCCCCGAGTCCCGCTTGGCCCCCGCGTGGCCGGGGAGACCCCCCGAGAGGCTGCGGCTGACCCCCAGGGCCAGGAGCCCCATGCTGTCCTCCAAGCGCTCCCGGGGGGCCTTGGCCCCCAAGTCCCAAGCCCGGTGGCTATGCAGGTGGGGGGTCCCCCCTTTCCTGGGCTGGCCCTCCTTGGGGGCCCCGCACCCTTCGCAAAGGCCCCCCGGCCAGGAGGCCCTTTTGTCCTGCCCTGCCTTGCTCTGGCTGCCAGGGGCCCCCGAGGCCTCCCCCCAAAGGTCCCCCCTGGCTGAGGGAGCCCCCCACCTCCCAGGGGCCCCCCTGGCGTCCCCTGCCTTGGCCTGGGGGTCCTCCAGGGCCGTCCTAGAGTGGCCCTCCCCGCTCCCAGGGGCCCCACTCCCAGGGGCCCAAGAGACCTGGGTCCCCACGTCCCTCAGCTCCGACCTCTTCGGCTCCAGGGGCCTCCCGGGGTCTTCCCGCTGGGGGTCCCCCACTTCTCCCTTCCCTCCCCCCATTGGCTGCCCCCGAGGCCGCTGCTCCCCGCCCGGCTCCAGGCTCTTCGGCGCCCCGCGCCCGGGTCCCCCCCTTTCCTCAGGACCCCCCATTTCTCCCCACCCCTCTCACCTCTCCTTGCCTCAACGGATACCACCCACCCCTCTGCGCATGCGCTTTCCTCGGGCCCGGCGCTTCCGCAGCGGAAGAAGCCGACGTGGGCGCAGCCATGTTTTTTTTTTCTCCGCCTCTTCTCCTTCTGGCGCCCGCGTCACGTGACCTCAACGGCCTCCTCCTCCTCCTCCTCCTCCCCCAACCGCCGTATTTGAATTAAATTCGTGGTCCTCCAATGAGAGTCGGGGTTGAGGTTTTTAAATCTGGGGGGGAGCTAGGAAAAAAAAAATTCAGCTTAAAACGTTTGATATCACGTGACGAGGGTGACGTTCCGTCACTTCCTCTCGGGGTATAGGCGGGGCGATCTCGAGTGGGCGTGGCTCGGGGCGGGGTTGAGTGGGAGGGGTTGAAGGAATCCCTCCTTCCTCTCATTCTATGTGTCAGCCGAGTATTTGCTAACTATAAAAGGGGCTGGTGTAATTTCCTGTAAATATTTTTGTAATAAACAAACTTAGTAAGAATCTTCATTTGGGGGTGGGAGGATAAAGTTATTCGCAATTAAAAATCAGATCTCTAATTGGAGAGGAATTCGACCTTAGGGGGGGGAAGAAAACCCTTTTTGAGCCAAAAGAAAGATGCAATAAATAGAAATACAGCCATCAATAAAGAGCAGGGCCCCTGCAACGTATATGGTGCAAGTAACAAGAATCAGAATAGGAAGGGACCTTGGAGGTCTTCTAGTCCATCCCCCTGCTCAAGCAGGTGACCCTATACACTCCAGATGAGTCCAGTCTCTTCTTAAAAACCAGCGTTGGAGCACCCACAACTTCTGGTGTCAAGCAGTTCCACCGGTTAATCGTCCTCCCTGATAGGAAATTTCTCCTGAGTTCTAGGTTGCTTCTCTCCTTGATTAGTTTCCATCCGTTGCTTCTTGTCCTGCCTTCTGGGGCTTTGGAGAATAGACTGACCCCCTTTGTGGCAGCCCCTTATATATTAGAACCCTTCTATCATCCCAGTCATCCGTGCTAGTCGTTCCCGGCTCTAGGGGGTGGTTCTTCTCTCTGTTACAAAGCCGAAGAGCCAGCGCTGTCCAAAGACGTCTCCATAGTCATGTGGCCAGCGTGACTGAACACCGAAGGCGCACAGAACGCTGTTCCCTTCCCACCAAAGGTGGCCCGTTTTTCTACTTGCATTTATTTTCCATGCTTTCGAACTGCTAGGTTGGCAGAAGCTGGGACGAGGAACGGGAGCTCACTCCGTTAGGCGGCTCTAGGGTTTCGAACCGCCGACCTGCTGGCCTTTCTGATCAACCAGCTCGGTGTCTTAGCCACCGCATCCGCTAGTAGTTTCACTAGACTAGCCATACCCAATTCCTGTTCTTCATATGTTGTAAGCCTCCAGATTTCAGCAACTGGAGAAAAAAAATGAGGCTCTATCTCAAATGCCTCTTTCAAGACAGCTGAAGCAGAAAACACATCCAGTGGGAGAGAGTTCCCCAGCTTAATCTGGCAGAATATGAATGAGGCAAACCTGGCCCTCTGGTAAATTTACCCCCACCTTCAAAAGGGCTTTGTAGAGAGAGAGGGGCAATAGGCCTCTCTCCCTTCTATTCCACATGCCTGAAAGATGCCAGGCCTTTCTAAATATTGACTTATTAAAGGTTAAAGCAGGTGTTTTTTTTTCCCCTGGAAAAGCCAAGGGGGGTACTCTGCTGTGTCCTTGAGCTTCCTGGTCTGGGAAATAATCCAATCTAGCCCATAATTCCAATAACTCCCTCCAAATTAACAATAAGAGATGAACAGAGTTGGAAGGGACCTTGTAGGTCATCTAGTCCAACCCCCGCCCAATTAGGAGACCCTATGCCATTACTGACAGAGGTCAGCCCAGTTGATTGCTCTCACTGTCATAAAAAAAATCTCCTTATTTGCAGGTTGAATCTCTCCTTGTTCAGTTTCTATCCATTATTTCTTGTCTGGCCTACAGGCGCTTTAGAAAATAGCTTGACCCCCTTCCTCCTCTCTGGGGCAGCCCCTCAAATATTGGAAGATGCTCTCCTGTCTCCCCTGGTCCTTCTCTTCCCTAGACTAGCCAAGCCCAGTTCCTGCAACCATTCATCGTATGTTTTATCCTCCAGTCCCCTCATCATCCTGGTTGCTCTTCTCTGCACTCTTTCTAGAGTCTCAATATCCTTTTTTATAGTGTGGTGACCAAAACTGGATGCAGGACTCTAGGTGTGGCCTTACTGAGGCTTTATAGAGTGGGATTAGTACCTCATAACATGGGGCAAAAGCCACTGAACCAACGTCTCGCTTAACTACAGAAATTTGGGGCATAAGTCGGGGACCATCTGTAGTTATTTCTGAGTGTTTTCCAAAGCAAAAAGGGAAAAGGAGTGGGAGGCAGGCAGATAATAAGGGGCTAGTAAATCCATTTGTGTGTGTGTGTGTGTGTGTGTGTTTTGTATGTCACCCAGTCCCAAAAAAATCTGTTGTCCCCCACAGATGTGTCGTAAAGCAGAATCACACACTTTTGGAAAAAACACGAGAGAAGGAAAACGGGCCGTTGTATAAGAATCATACAATGAAAAGCCACAAATAATGACACACACTGAATTGACGTAGGGCATCAAGCCATGGTTTGTCCAAGAAGGCATGGGCTTATACATGTGAAGTCTTCGACCTGACAACCATTCATTCACTAACCATTCAGAGTTACAACGGCACTGGGGAAAAAAAAATGACTTAGGGTCACCGGTCCTCGCATTATGACCGTCACAATATCCCCATGGTCACGTGATCAAAATTCAAAGGCTTGATAACCGGCGTATATTTACAATGGTTGTAAGCATCCTGGGGTACAGCTGGTGGCCATTTTGCGACCTCCCCAACAAGCGAAGTCAACCAGGGGGCGGGGAGCCGGATTCGTTTAACGACCTTGTGATCCACTTAACGACTCCCTCAAGCACCGTGACGAAAAGGCCACTGAATAAAGTAGCAAGTAGGAAATTCTGATGTGCAATTGGGCCAACACGTCCTGAAGTTAAACCTGTACCCACTTTTCTCCCCCCCGCCCCGCCCACCCCAGCCAAAACAGTGGGTTGCCTCTGAGCACGTGAAGATTCACGCCCGGCAGAGAACGGTCTTCACTGGCCGATGATAGTCAATGCTCCATTGGGCTCGGTTCTCGCCTAGTTCTAGCCTGGATTGCTGGTTTTACTCTTCTCCGGTGCTTCGCACATCTGGAAGGAGAAAAAAGATACCAAGCTTGTTTTGATAGACTGAACTGACACCCGTTTTGCTTCAAGGGGTTGCAGGAAGAAACAGGGGTGCTGTTTGAGAGCCCCCTCTGCCCCACTCCCCCAAAGAGGTGCATTCAAACCAAACAGCATCCAAAAACAAATCGTGTTTGCAATGAAAACATTTTTTTTTTTTTTACAATCTTCCGGTCCGGACATATTTCTGCTTAAAAGATCTAGATAAAGTTTTTTCCTGAAAAAGGAAGTGGGTTTTTTTCACCCTCTGAGTCTCAAATCATGAAAATAAAAACAAACTTTTTGGTGCCCCCCCCCCCCCCCCCATTCCAAAGAGGCTCCAGGGTGAATTTGTGCAGCATTCTTAACCCAGTTTTGAATTTGTTATTTTTTTTTCAAAAAAATGTTTCTTTTTATCTATTTGGATCCCTTTGGGGTGAGGCTTGCACCTTGTGTCAGCTAGGTGCCACACTACGTATCCCAGAATCCTTTAGGACACTAACGTTGGTAAAAGAAGTGTCCCTAATCATTAATTACTAGTGGCTTTTGCTCATTCTGTAATGGTTTGCTAATTGGCTTTCTTTACAAAGTCACTTGCAAGTGAAACGAAAGAGCAAGCCATTACAGAGTCAGAGGAAGCCCCTACAGAGAGAGGGCAAGAGATATATAAAAGGGAAGTTGAATTTACCTGCATGTACTCTCACTGAATTTCATCCCACGCCTCTCACAATGTCCGGATTGGTGGCGACACACACATTTGCACGTCTGTGGATCTGGCTGCTTTTTCCTGTCCCGACAAGGTGCACAGGACCGACTAGAAAGAGAAGGAAACAACAGATTAAGGCCCTCAAACTTATTCAGGTACAAATGGGATCACAACTTGCTGTCATTTTGCCCTAAGTGTGTTTTTGTAAAGAAATTGGCAAAACCTGCTTTTTCTGGAACCACCTCCAGGGTCTACCCACCAGGACTAATTCTGTACGTGTGTAAATCAGGTTTATGGGATCTGTGGGAAGGGAAGGGAAAGGAAGAGGAGGAAGGGAGGGAGGGAAGGAAGGAAGGAAGGAAGATTGACTGGCAGGAGGGAGGGAGAAAGGGAAGGAGAAGAGAAAAGGAAAGGAAGGAAAATTGGAGAGAGAAAGGAAGGCAGAAAAGAGAGGGAAGGAAGAAAAATTAGAAGGAGGAGGGAGAAAGGAGGGGGAAAGAGAGAAGGAAAGGAAGCAAGGAAGGAAAGATGGAAGGAAGGAAAATTGGAGAGAAGAAAGGAAGGAAGGAAAATTGGAGAGAGAATGGAAGGGAGAAGGAAGAAAGGGAGGGAGGGAGGGAGGGAGGGAGGGAGGGAGGGAGGAAGGAAGGAAGGAAAATTGGAGAGAGAATGGGAGAAGAAAGGGAGGGAGGAAAATTGGAGGGAGGGAGAAAGGAAAGAAAAAGGGAAAGGAAGGAAAGAAGGAGGGATGGAAGGAAGGAATCTTTTACCTAATTGAATTAGATCTGAAAAGCATCGTTCTCGATCTGAAAAACACAAGAGAAAAACAACAGATTTAGCAACTTGATTGTCGAAGGAAATATATATATATATACTTAGATTTAACGGTCTGTGCATAAACATTCATCATCGCTATTGATTTAAAACATTTGTGCACCATTTCCTCTCTAAGAAAACACTCCTTCCAAAGGAGGTTAAACCTGCAGCCTCCTCCACCCAGATTTGCAACGGACCGTTTCAAAATAAACTACAACCCCCAAGTTTTTGCTGGGCAGAAATTATGACAGCAGCTGAACCCACCTGAAATCAGGATATGTGTGTAATAGACAAGAGGACCTGACGAAATCTTATAGTTTGAGCAGAATAATAATAAACCCCGAGCAGAGTGCCTGCATTTATAACAACCCTCCTGGAACAACAGCTAAATTGTCCTGAATTCCTAAGCACACATCCTGAAGTTAATCCCTTTCCTTTTAATGCCCACAGCAATCGCTTCTTTTATCATGTAAATCCAACATTGTTGAGGATTTGAAAGCAAGTCTTTTGACATTTTTCACGGATGGCCTGGCCTACTTACATCAGAAGCCGTTCCTTGCTGTCACCAGTGGACACAACTCTTTAAACGGTTTCTTTTATTAAGGCACCATATAATAGGAGAGAATTCAAGCAGGCTTCTGCCCATTAATTCCGCAAGAATTAATAATAATCCCCCTTTGATTGCTCAGAACTGGACGGTGACTGAAAAACGGTTCCCCTAAATTTAAACCTTTCTCCCCTCCAAAAATAGTTTATTTGTCACATACAGATAGTCCCTGATTTATGACCTCAATCAAGCCCAAAACTTCTGTTGCTCTGTGAGATGTTTGTTAAGTGAATTGTGCCCTGTTTTTTTTTTTATTTTGCTAAAGTTGTGAAGTGAATCCCTGCAGTTGTTAAGTCAGATACACGTGTCAACTCATAAAACATTCCTATGCCTGTTTTAGTAGTTGCCATACAAAAGGGGGGAAAGCGAAAGTACATTCCAACTCTTCTCTTCAAAAGGTTGTAACTAAACTACCAGAGATTTTTGCCCGGGAATATATTTAATTGGAGGATATGATTGATGACACCCAGCTGGTGAATGGGCTCAATTGGAGAATCTGGTTTATGAGACCCCCAGGGGGGAGAGGGGGAAACAGGGTCACAGGGGACTCTACGTATGCCAGAGTTGGCTTCATACAGGGCTGTGCCAGTATGTCGCCTCTAATGAATCCTTACCTGCAGCTGCATTCCAGGTGCTCTTCAAAAGTCAACTGGGTTATATATCTGTTTGGAAAGAGGCTAGCCATCACCTAGAAAACAGGAAGATGAAGATCTTCATTCTAAACGTCCAAGATTCAGTGCTAAATACAAATATTGTTATCTCCGGTAGGAAATAGAAGTAGAAATTCAGCTTTTATTTCTGGCTGTTTTTTAACATCCCTAGACTGGAGGCTAAAACATTATGAAGAACGGTTGCAGGAACTGGGCCTGGCTAGTCCAGGGAAGAGAAGGACCAGGGGAGACAGGAGAGCAGTCTTCCAATATTTAAGGGGCTGCCCCAGAGAGGAGGAAGGGAGTCAAGCTATTTTCTAAAGCACCTGAAGGTCAGACAAGGAAGAATGGATGGAAACTGGACAAGGAGAGATTCAACCTAGAAATAAGGAGGAATCTGCTCCCCTCCCCCTCTTACCTCCAAGATGGCTTCCCGGGAACGGCTGGGCACGCAATCCAAGGAGTCGTCGGAACAGCAGCCGGTACAGCGCCTGAGGGCCACGCAGGATGGGATCATGATGTGGTTTCTCAACGACGGATGGTCCGCCGTGACCGACACCATCGTCTCCCTGGGCTGGCAGGCGCTGCGGTTGTAGACCTCCAAAAAACGGATCACTGGTGGGGAGACACACCTGGGCTTTTAGCTGGCTCACCTGTCATCAGAGAGGGCTGGCCCTACGGTTA